GAGCCCTGCCACAGGCTCAGGGACGCGGCGTGCGGGAAGGAGAGGGCAGATGCGGGGGAGAGCATCCGGAGCCTTTCGTTTCTTAAGAACAAAACACAAAACAAACAAGCACACGGCAAAAGCCCTCTGAGCGGACCGAGGCCAAGTCAAGCCCCCAGGGTAGCGCCAGGAGGCGTCCACGGCCGCGGGTCGCGGCCCTTCGCGCTCGGGTCTCCCGCGCCCAGGGGAACCCGAGCCCGTGTCCTCCCCGGGCCCGCGGCGGAGCTTCCCGGCCACAGCATTCACTCGTGCAACCCAAGTCTTAGAAGCCGAGACTGGGTCAAGGCCACGGCGACGCCGCCCTGAGAAACTGCAACTACTCTGACTGTGGCTTCGCACCGGCCTGGCCGCACAGCCTAGGGTCCATTCCAGTGCGGGAGGCCGGGCCGCAGGCGCAGCTTCCCCGCACGCCTGGCCGTCCCGGGCTGAGCCGGCGCGCCAGGGCGTCTCCACGCGCCGGCAACGCGCTCCACTCCGGGCCGGGGCCTCATCTTGCCCCGGGGCTGCTTCCAGCCTATCCCGACTGCTTCAGAAGAATCAAAAAGCAAAGCAGAGCCAGCCCCCCTACACCTGCCTGGGGGGCTCGGGGGGCGCCCAAGAGCGACTCAGTGGGGGCGGGAGTCTGACTTGGTGGGGCGCTCCGGGCTCCCCACGGTTCCCTCACCGACTCGCCCGCGAGCCAAGGGAGGCCTCATGCCGCGGCCCCGCCTCTTGGTCGAACCCTGGGCACCCGGAATGGCACCCCCGACCGGGGTTCGGCGGAGGGACTCCGGGGGTCCCCCTCTCCCGCCAGCTCCCCTCCGCCCCAGCCGGGCGCCAGGATGCCCGGCCGGAATTCGCGCAGACCCGGGCGTTTCCTCAAGGGGTTTCTTCCCTCCCAAGCTAGCAGCTCCTTTCCCGGTTTAACCGTAGAAGACTCACATTCCCCTACCCAGAAAGGGTGGCCAGTGCTGCGGCCTCCGATTAGGCAGGCGGCACCCGCAAACCTCACCAGGGATCCCACTACTGGACGATCAAAGGCGTCCCGCTTTTCAAAACTGGCTCGACTCGCGGTCGCCCGGCCCAGGCACTCTGGCCTTGAGTCCCGACCTTCTGAGCCCACGAGGGGCCGCCCCCTCCCCAGTGACCCCAAGATTATGGCCCCAGCCCCACCCGGACGGGGTGAAGCCAGAGCCGGACTCGAGGGTGCACAGCTGGGACCCGCCTCTCGGAAGGCTGGGCGGGTTCTCCGCGCTCCCCGAAGTTCCCGCCCTCTCAGAACCCTCCTGCCCCTCCCTCCGCG